TGTCCCCCCCCCCCTGGAATCAAATGAGTATAAGAAAATTTAAAATTTGATCTCTTATTTTTACAAATAATAAATATGTTTGTCAAATGTGAGAGAGCTAAAATTTGCTCTTCGTGGTAGTTCGTATTAAAAATTTGGATTATGCCCCCCTCTAGAAAAAATACTGCGGACGCCCTTGACCGCCGCTTTTCTTTCCGTGGAAGAAATTATACGTACATCCTACGAAGAGCGCGGCCCACGGAGTCACTAAAATTTTGCCGTGCGGCGGCAGGATTCCTATGATAGAAGACTGGTGCAACATGGTTGACATTCGAGACGCTTGCACCGATACTAAGTTGCCGCCAATTCCGTTAATCACCGGCTGAAAGACTTCGGATCCTTTATAGGAGTCAATCATTCTCTCAAGAACTAATCCGCCTCCGCTAAAAATAGGAGCAACAGAAATTAATGGATACATTAAAAATACAATTAGACGAAATAATGTAACTATATTGACATATTATGTAAATTAAAAAACAAAAAAAATAATAATTAATACTAAATCAATGAAATTAAATAAATGCGTAAAGAAAAGATTGATTCAAACATTCGTAAACGAACGATTTGATAATTCAAACAAAATCCTCGAAAGACTCCAGAGAAACTGGAGACTAAACGAGAATAGATTGAAATAGATTTTTTTTAAATTCATTTTAACGGTCGCGAATGCGTAATTCTGAAAATCTAAATCTATTTCAATGCCCAATGCCTTTGTATTTATTTATAGAAATTGCATGAAGCACATTTTATATGCCATTCAATAAAAAAAAATTTAGCTTTAAAAAGTAAATCGTGAATACTAGTTATATTAAAATTTTAGATAGGTAATGCAGTTTTTTCTATTTAATTAAATTCAAAAAAAGTTTTTCCGTAAAAATGGATTATGAATGTCATTCAATTAAAAGTTGTAACTAGGAAATGCATTATTTTAATTCAACTAAATCTAAAAGGATATTATATTATATTCGTATTATGAAAAAATAGAAATGCATTCATTTTCACGGAGGCCAAATCCATTTCAATCCATAAATTAACAAATTTTAATCTATTTTAATTCTTTCCCGTTTATTGGGATTGTAAAACCTAAGTAAAATGCCACTTTTTGGCTACTAACCCACTGATCAGAAGAGCAGACAAGATGGGCACCCAACCGGACTTCAATACTTTTCTCGTGTAACAGTTCTTCAGCACGATTACAATCCAAATCGGCATGAGCACCAAGAACATTCCTAGAACGACGTACAGCACCCACAATTGTTGTTTGTTCATGTTGTTGTAGAATTCCGACGCGATTGTGGAGAGAATGCTGATGGACACGACGTCGCCGATGGACGCGGCCAGAGGAGTCGCCAGGTTGTCCGGGTTCATTTTGTACCGATAGGATAACATGATCACGGCAATCATGACGAAGTCTGCGGAGGAGAAAAAGATTATTTTATCCACAATTAAAATTCAGTCTATCAAAATACATTTCAATATATTTATATATTCGTATAATAAAGAAGAGTTTAAAACGTAGAGACGCATGCTGTTAAACAAATTAAATTTAACGGTCCATTGGGAATTAGTAAGACTCAAAGAACAAGAAGATTACAATAAAACAAAAGAAACTGTCTCTATAGCTTACAAATTTAATTTGTAATAAATATTAATAATATTACAAATACATAAAGAGGAAGAGAATTTAGATGCTGAACTATTCTTTGTTAGGGAAGTTATGTTTGATATACATTAATAATAACGCATTTAACGATTGCATGTAATCTGACGCTCTGCATGCTAATGAAACACGAGATCAGTTTTGCATATTAGAAAATTAAAAATACATTATTTTAATCAGCAATCAAGAAGTTTTGTTAGAATATCGCAAACACACGAGTAAAATACATATATAATATTTTGATCAAGAGTGTCGATGTGCGAACAAAAAAATTTCCGCAAAAAAAGAGATACAAATCTTTTCTACAAGACGGTGAGCAAGGCGTGTGTAAAAAAAAAGAGCATCATTTATTCGAGCATATCTGTATCATTTATCTTGCTATAAAAAGACGGATAAAAGGAGATAATATCTATTAATATAATGCGTGATTAAGCCACACAGACCGCGACAGCGATCGTTGCTAATGCTAATCGCTGATAGAACGGCGAATGAATAGTTACCTCCGAGCAGGGCTGGGCAAAATACACCATTAAAGTATTTAAAATACAAAATACAAAATACTAGGAATCTTAGTATTTGAATTACAAAATATAAAATACTTTCAATCTTTTGATTTGAAATACAAAATACAAAATACTTTCAATCTTTTGATTTGAAATACAAAATACAAAATACTTTCAATCTTTCGATTTGAAATACAAAATACAAAATATTTTTATGTGTTCCGTTGAAATACAAAAGACAAAATACAAATTGTATTTCAAATACTGTATTTCAAATACAAGCCCAGCCCTGCTCGTAATATAGGGTACAGCGGGGTAATTTGAATAATTTCAAACTTTTTGAACAATTTCTCGAAAAGTAATAATTTTATCCTTAAATTAAATATGCAGCAGGAAACTCACATGTTTAAAGAATAATTACCCAAGTATTAAAACAACTCAACAAAATGCGCCACTAGTCAACGTGATAATTGTTAATACAAGCAGGAAACATTTTTAGATTATATTGTTTTCATAGTTTTTATATAGGTTCCATAAAAGCTTCAGATAGCAGAGTCTATTCTTATAACCTACAGTTACAACAGAAGTTCTCTACTAACCTTGCTTAATATAAAATACTATATAGATCTATAGATTAACAGATATTCTTTAACAATTATATGAATATGTAGACCAAAGTATTCTCTTTGTTGGTAACCACAAATATGAAACAAAGCGTCTCTTATTTTTCTGAAATTCTTGCAAATGCTTACTATTATCCAAATTTCCCCACTGTTCAAATTACCCCGCTATATCCTATTTATACATATTGTATTAATTTACAAGAAGAAGAAGAGGACCAAGTTAAGTTGAAACGTCTCGTCGCAAATTATTATAAAATTGGATACATAATATCTTATACCAACATCCAAAATTTTGCTCGTTTATTGGCTCGAATCAATATACCGTTTTTTATAAATACAAGTGATAATCTATATTAATCTTAACAACAATATAAAATGTGCAATATAAAAGGAAAATATAAGAAATGAAGCAAAAATAGAACGATGGGTTTGCGAGCGAATTAGTTTTCTGAAACCGACACTGAAGAAATAAACACTATCACTGTGAACGATTCATAAGTATACACTGCATGCCGCATCTTTATAGCAAGCCGTTGCTCCCGTTGCTGCATTGTTGTCAAAATCGAAGATTGCATCACGTACTTCAAATCTGTCGTATTTTCCGCGATTCTTCGGAGAATATGAAGTCAGCATATTTTCTTAGAAATTCAATACGTGAAATTGAGAACGATGACAAAAACAAGGAAAATTAAAAAAAATTTATATATTACGTTATGGATGAATAAACAATAATGTTAAACGGATTTTTATTTAATGGACAATTAAGTAATTATACAATTGTTACAATAACTTATGTTAAAAATTGAAATGTAACAAAAACAGAAATTTTAAGAACAGTAATTAAGAAGAGAGATTTTAAAAATTTTATATTAATACAACTGGAAAGATCTCGGATCATGGACTTCTTAAGTCTTAAAAAAAATCTCTGCTGCAGAAAGAGTCTAAGATTAAAAATAACTTTCTTCCGATCCATTTCTCCAATATATCGACTATCATCTTTCTTTGGAAGCACGATTTCTTTTGTCCTTATACTTGTGATGTTACTCTAATAACGACGTTCGCGTTTCAACGATCCTGATACTGCGGCGCTGCGACTATAAAGATAATGTTACGGTATCGTTGCTCGTAGTTCCGACAAAAGCGCGCAGTCCATATTCCCGCGAGACTACTTCCATCGGATTTAATTGACATTTAAGATCAGATTCCATTATGTGATAATTCACATTGCAGAAGTTTATACAGATATGGTGAAATTATCGACACGAAGCGAATGTCTATATGAATGTTTTTTTGTTTGTAATTTTTATACACATCGCATTTTACTATGTAAACAACTCATATCAAGAATATTCATATTGAGAAGGTTCGTTGAATAATGTCTGATTAAACAAGCTACTTCAAAAATTTAATTGTATTTAAGGAAATAATCTAAAAATCGTAATTGTAAAGACAGATATTAATATTAAATTAAGAGGTCGTAAACGAGCAAAATTCATGGGTATACTAAATATATTTCATTTAAATATCAAGACGTACAGATATATATGATTGCGGTATCAGTTTCGACTTCACAATCTTTATCAGCCGCCAACATTGAATAATTAATACATGATTACACAAAAAACGCGAAGTAATAAATAAATAAAACACGAAATAATATAACTCATATCAGCGTAGTCTACCAATAATTAATACCAATGATTACATAGAAAACGCTAAATAATAAAGGAATAAAACGCAAATTAATATTACTCATAT